AAGTCAGGAAAACATACCACGCCCTTTCCTGTCTTCGCATTTTTGCCATCGGGATCCTCAAGGTCAGTATCTGAAGACAACTGAGATTCTGCCTCTCTGTGCATAACACATGGATTTATTAGTAATTATTATTAGTATTTAATACAACTGCAAAAAGTAACACAAGCATAGCAAAAACGATCTCAAATATCATCAGTGCATACATACAAAATAAACATTGAAGGACATAAAAACCTTACAGTAACACTTCCATGTTTTTCTACTTACTGAGGAAACTGAAACTCAGTGTGCAAGTCCTGCGCTGCTATCATTTCTTTAACATTTTCTGGATCTGCTGGAGTAGGTGCTCTTACTGCTCTGGGTGCTGAGCAAGGATATACCTTTATAATAGCACATGAAAAAGAAAAAGAACATAATTATTAAAAAATGAAATGAATGAAGCAAAAAAAAAAAAAACCCGGACAGTCAAAATAATCTTATGTAAACCCCTGCTGGTTCAAGAAAATGTTAATAAATCCTTTGAAAAGGCCTTCTGCATAGATTACTTATAAATGTTTTTTCTAAGTTACAGTTGGACTTTACATGTTGTTATTTAACTCTGTATAGCCATTCACAAAACAAGCACTGATTTGAGTGACCTGCCTTTATCAGCTATAAACTCCATCAGATGTTTCTGGTTTAGAGACTTCAGCAATGTTTCAGAAATACTTTACAGCAGCGGTCCCCGACCTTTTTTGCGCCACGGACTGCTTTACGCCCGACAATATTTTCACGGACCGGCCTTTAAGGTGTCCTGGATAAATACAACAAAATAAAACCAGTACCCAAAAAAAAATAATTTTCACACAAATTTTCAACTCTCGAGGCCCGGTACCAAACACGGGGGTTGGGGACTGCTGCTTTACAGGACCGGGACCTTTTTCACTCATGCATCATCTTAACTGGGTAAGAGTAAGACTTTGGCCAAGACAAAAAAATGTATAATCATTTTTAAGATGATTTAAGGTCGTGAACAACTTGCCAAGCATTCAAGAGAAGTTCTTGATTCGATTTCATTATCACTGGTCTATCAATGGCTGCAAGTCATCCAGGTACTAAAGTAGAAAACCAGCCACAAACCATGATGTTCCCTCCTCTGTGTTTTGAGGTTTTACTGTTACTGTGCAGTTCCGTCAAGGATTCACCAAAATATGTGACTTTTCAACTTACATCCTATCAACAAATAAGACAACATTCACATATCCCTGTGGCCAATATTTATCTGTTAGAAAATTATTATGAAGAATTCAACATTATTCTTACCTTTATTGTAATTGGTAAACTTAATAAACAAAAGCAAAAAAAAAAAAGTTGTTATTTTAAACCCTCAAAATTTTATCCTTACAAATGTTGTTTAATAAATACACCTTGATTGGACTTAATGAACTCCATTTACATTGGTCATATATGGGTCATACTAAACCTTCTTTGGCAAGGACATTACTTTTTCAGTAACAAGTCTTTGCATGATTTTAGTCATAGTCTTCTTAACCATTTCATGTGAGCCCAAAGTCAAAGAAGTCCTTCTAGCCTACAGTTATTTTTTAACGTGCTCAATACTGACATGAAAAGTACATTTTGTTTGCTATTAGTTTAGTCATACTGCACATAGTTGTGGCTGAGATGAAACTCTTCCCACATTTCGTGGTAAGATTAATCATTGTAATCATAGTAGTACCAACTGATTCACACTTTTTGTCGAAACTAATATTGAAGGGCATGACGAGAGCGTGGTTGTGTCACTGTCAGGGCACACAAAGCTTTAATAACCTATTTAAATCTGATTATCTGTATCCAGATAACTTATCTGCATAAATGCGTGTTAATGCATGGTATGCAGGTTGTAAACGCAAACACAAGATATCGGCAATGGAACGCGGCTACAGTATGTTAAAATGTGAGCCAAACCTGCTGACAGACATAGTAATAATGTTAGCTATGCAATGGGAAAAGCAGAGAGCGTGTAACAGAGCCGCTTATCTCAACCTGGGATGCACCATGTTCGTTCGCGAGTCAGCTAGATCTATCTAGCTAATTAGTACATTGACATTTAGACAACAATAATATGTTTTGATGTTGTAAGACCAATTAACGTGATTTATCCAGCTGAAGCAGCAAGATAAAAATTACACATTGACATCAAAATAAGAAATCCATCCATCCAGGCTCCACATAAGCACATCAGCAATACCAAACCTCTGCACTTGCCATGTTTATTACCACTATCAAGGGCTGTTAGGCTTAAGCAAAAAAAGTCTATTTGTTGTGGATCACTTGACAGTACTACAGCAAACTATTAAGTAATACATGAAATTGCAGATTAATCTTTTTGACAACTAGGGGCTGGATTCTGGTTGCTGCATGGTAGCTGCTAAGAAAATATTTCAGATGACTGAGACCCCAGTAGTGCGCGCACTGACTGTGTCACACTGTTGCAGTTTACTGGGACACATGGAACAATTTTTAATGACATCTGTGTTTTTAAGTGTTCTACAAGAAATGCAAGAGGAAATGCTTGTTTGACTGCACTACTGGTTCAAAATGCTCCAAATTTGCTGGGTCCAGATTCTAAGATGTCATGACTTGTGACCTCTCCTTGGATAATTGAGCAAAAAAGTAATACAAAGAAGCCTCTTAGGCCTCTTCAAACCATCTTCTTTAAAAAAAAAAAAGGGGGGGCATAAAAACATGTATATCACATTAATTAATTAACTGAAGATAATACACTGGCAAAGTTAAGTAATACATCTTGTTAGTGGCCATTCTCAAAAAGCTTTCCAAGCTTAAGGGGTGTGTTTTCCCCAGACTCACTTTCACTCTCCACTTTACAACTTGCAAACTACACTTGTATCTCCAACACAGCTGTTATTCGGAGCTGAAAATAAGTGATTTTGTCTCCCAGCTCTAACACTTTAAAACAGATACTTAGAAATGTGTTACTTAATGAACGTTTTTTTAAGAAAAAAGAAAAAATGCATGTGATCGCGACTGTTTCACAACTTTCTGCGTAACTTTACGTTTACAGCAGATACTTTCAGAGAAAAGGGGAAACTACGGACCGCTCTTATACAATAGAACATACTGTAAGTGGAAATCCCAGTAAACATGACACGGCTTTTCCTGAGCAGACTAGGGGCTTGTCCCTAGGCTCTGAACGCCATAAATGGATATGCATACTGTACGGATTTCAGTGTCTCAATAAAACGTTAGCTACTGATGAGCACAATTGTCTTTCGCTTTTATTACTGTCCACCGTGTCGGTAAACTGCATCGTTACTCGTAATTTGAAACAATTTAATCATACCGCAGTTGTGACACGCGCAGTTGTATACTTCCGAAATACAAACAACCACAGATGTTTGGGAGGCTGAGTCTGCTATCGGCTCTCATCTCCTCCTGACGTGCCGTTGTTTTTACGACGGCCAAGCAGTTCTCGGGCTAATGTGAGCTAAATCTATTGATAATGTGATCTTGGCCACAGACATCAACGCTCTGTTTAATTAGCTACCCTTTGACCTTTTTCTCTAATTAATTAATACCGGGCTCCCACAACTGCGATTAGACTTCGCGCCAGTGTTTTGATACACCATAAGAAACTAGCTTAGCTAGTATTACCGTTAGCTATAGCTGGCTAACTGGACCACTAGCACATATAACACAAACTGGAAACACACAGAGGCTGCAGTTGGTAACTATCTTGACTATAGCACATTCTGATGAACTAGTATTTCTATAGGTATGACTATTGGTGACACTAACAAGTGTCTTGACAGCTAACCCAGAAAAGCGGCTTCAATGGCAAACTCCCTTGATGTTAACGTTAGCTATCCGCCATTTTACTTACCTCGTTTTAATTCAAAGACGGACTGAAATCAAATAATCCACGCGGTACGGACTGTTCATAGAGAATGCTTTCGTCAGTTCCCTGCACTGGCTGTCATTTTCCAAATTTTAACAATTGTAGTTTTATTTGTTGGCTAACGTTAAGAAGCTTCTTGGTGGCTAATATAGCAAGGTACAGTGTGTATTGTCGTTGTTATGCATGCAGCACACACACCACCTGTCGGCGACACTGTGTACTGCCGCTACGAGGGACCATATCCTGTCAGGGCTATCGTAGCGGCAGGTCCATATCCTGGTTCCTCGTAGCGGCAGGTCCATATGGACCGCTCTCATGTGATCGCCGATTGAGTCACGGAGATTGTCCATTAGGTAGGACAGTACCTCGCATGCTGTCTAACTTCCCAATGAGGCAGGGGTCATTGATTATTGATAGTTAATCAAATCCTAACCACTGTGCCCGTGTTGTTGGGATAAATGCTCTCAGCTCTTTGATCAAGTAACAACTTTAAGACTGAACTGGAATCAGTAAAAGGGCAAAGTTTGGTTTTAGCTGGTAAAAGCTGCCCTATTTCTTCCACTCCCTACACTGCTGAAGTTTTTCGGAATGAGCTATCAGAAAATAGATTAGTGGCCTACTGAATGAAAATCCAAGTAGGCTAAGTAAGTAAGTCAATAGATGTGTACAATGTTGTACATTTAAGCTTATTTTATTATGCTAACATACAAAGTAATAATATGTTTCTACTTTGTACCTTTAGGGGAATTTTCTGCTTTCTTACTACACAAAGAATGATTAATCAGTTTACCTCAGTAACACAATCAAAAGAGTTCATTTGGGGCCACAATACACATATTAATAGAATTATGTTTTTTGTGTTGTTTGTTTTTTCACTAATCACACTGGTACCCATTAAATTATATAGGCTATTGATTAACAATGATTATTGCTGTTGTAGTCATTCAATTCTTAAATTGTTCACTCAGTGTTGGCAGTGTCTTTACTATGAGATCTCCTATATTATTTAAATTTAAAAAGGTGTCATTTGTTTTAGATACATGGTTTTTGTTTTTTTGCTCCAGGGCAAAATTTGTACAAACTCAGACCAACAAGAAAAACATGAGATTTTTGACAGCTTTGACATTTTATTGTTCCATTAATCATATCTTACAGGTTTTTGTAAGCAGGCCGACTTGGTAAGCCACCAACTGTTAGTAATTGTAACTAATTCTAAAATCCATTTCACCTCTTCTCCCTTTACATCAACATGTATGCTTACAGTATGACGCGTTCAAAGCCATATCTTCCCACGGGTGCTGAGGGTGTGATGGAAACAGATGTGATGCAGTGCAGTGTCACAAGAAAAACTCACATAAAAGGAGAGAAAAGTCTATAGTTCTGGCAGGCCATGCTTGCATAAGGGGCTTAATTTTCTGCAGGTGAGGCTTCATCTACACAAACTCATTGAGGAAACCATTTACTGTCCCTTCAGGTGTGTCCTCCACAGGCTGTCCCATACAAAAGGAAGGCACCACAAGGAGATCGGGGTCCTTGATCTCGTTTTCAATCTCCATGGTCCTGTAAGAAAGTGACAGAGATACTTTATGGGCATTCACTGTATGTTGTTTGCATCCCTGTAGTATATTGCTCAGATGTTAAAAAGAGCTGAAAAAAATCAACACAGCTTACCTGAAAAGGAATGATGTGGACTCAGTGAAGTAGAAAGTAAACACAGGCAAACATCCTTTGGTTACAGACATGGAATAGTGGCCTGAAAACGAGAACAGAAAACATTCAAATACAGTGAATATCACCACAGTTATACAGGAGCGTCCCTCGAATTCTCTCCTCTGTTTATAGCGCGTCACCCCCTACCTTTCTTGTCGGGCATCGATCCTGTCCATACGTCTAGCTGTAATCCCTCCCCTTCGATGGCTGCACTCCCAGAGTGTTCTTTAGTGGAAAACGTGGCATCATCGGGAATATCCAGAGGGTGCATGCTGCAGTGCAGCGTTTTTTTCACACAGCTCTGGTTTTTGCTTTCAATCTCGTAGAATGTCCCCTGCCAGAGACAGACTTGCATGTTAAGTTGCTAAACAACTTCAAGTCATGTATTTACTTGTCGGCGTTACAGATTTAAAGCAGTTACCTCTTCGAAAAACATCAGCAGATCCATACTATGTGAAGCGTTTGTGGCGCTGCTCTCGTTTGATCTGAACCGTAGCTTCTTGCCCATTGAATCATAGGTGAACGCACCATATGCTTTCATTTCACCTTTCATTGACATCTAGTTTCATTCGAAAGCATACGGCGAGACACAACAAGGGAGAGTTAAAGAGTTTAAAATGTAATGCAAGGATCAGGAGTTGATCTGAATGACAAATAATAATAATATATATTTTTAAAAACTTACCACAGACATGAATCCTGTCATATTGGGTGCATCTGAAAGATAAAAGTATGATAGTTAAGACCTTTCATATACTAACAAACATTAAATATAATTTGATCCAATACATAGACTGGAGTTTGTGTGTTGTAACAAAAAAAAATGCAGCGATCCTAAAAGATGCCTGAAAAATAATTTCAATTTTTATGGATAGGGTAAAACTGCAAACTCTTACGACAAGGCTGATGGTGATCTGCATGGGTGCTGGCGGTCAAGCACATGAAGAAGAATAGCGTAAGAGCTGCATACATTTTTCTGGTCTGGAGGGAATCACAAATTAATGTTCGAGATGGCAACAGCAACCAAAAACCCCAACCAGAAGCACATCTAGCTCTTGGTCAACCAAACAGCTGCTTTTATAGGGCTGGTAACTGGCACGAGACAAAAAGTCTGACGTAAAAAGGACCCGGGGTCATAACCCCCTGGACTTCTGACTTCAAGCTGTCCAAATACATTAGTTCTTGTCCCTGCTGGTCGGCACCCAGTGGAAGAGTTTTACTTTTCGTTTTTGATTGTGCAGCTGTCCTGTGATGTTTTCATGCAATGTGTCTCTGGCTGGCCCCCTACTTTCAAAAGCACCTTTCAGAGTGTCATGTGTAAATAAAGGGTAAGACCAATCATGCACGGGGGATTATCAAGGCTGTGTCAGGGAAACAGAGTTAAGTATAGATGAAAAATGACTTTATGCTAAGTATCATAACAGCTCCCTGTTTACAGTGATGTTGTGGTAAAGAGGAATGTAGGACTGTAGGTTGTAGGCCTAAGACTGTGAGTGAATTGACGGAGGGGTTGGAAGTGAAATGTGTTAGTTATACATCCAATGTCTGTTAGGAACTGAAACTGAACCAGGGAATCTCTATTCCTTAATGAAAGCTGACTGACATTTAAGACAATGTTAGAATCCTTTAAGCGCACGTCCTCTCTCTTATGGCTGGCAAGCCAAGGAAGTAAAAAGACAGCTGGAGGTGGCTAAGAAATCAAACTTATCAGTAGATTATATCCAGTAAAATGGCATTTTCTGTTTATATATATATGGCCTGTGTCCTTTTTGGAACTGGTTTCACATTCCTTTTTTGCATTTATCTGCTACAAAGCATCAAACCACATCATAGTATTTATTTTACAGTTTGTGTTGTTATGTCATGTTCATCATGTGTTTGACAGCTACATGTAAATTATTGCATCTGTGCATTCTCTTCCACTTATCCTTTCCAGGGTCATTGGAGATGACAGATGTTTTAGGGTGAGAGGGAGGTTGTTAGTCTGTCACAGAGACATACAACCATTTGCACTCACATTCACACCTATGGGAAATTTAGGATTACCAGTTAACCTATCCCCACTAACTGCACGTCTTTGGACTGTGGGAGAAAGCCGGAGTACCCGGAGAGAACCCACGCAAACACGGGGAGAACATGCAAACTCCACACAGAAAGACCCCGATGGAAGTGAACTCAGGACCTTCTTGCTGTGAGGCAACAGTGCTAAGCACTGTGCTGCATTTTAATTGATATTTAAACATTTTTGATGTCAAAGCACTCATCTGCCATATTTGACTGTAGGGACAAGGACTCCTGCTTCTTTAACTTGAAGTCATGGCGTTCATGGAGAAAGGACAACTGATGAGGCCTTGCTTCTGTACGACCAGCAATGAATAAAAAGATCATGTTTTTTAGATTTGAGTCATGGTAACCTTTGAACTTCCACATGAGACACAGACAAAGGAGGGAAAAAAGCAGCCTGGTGTATGTACAATTTTACAAAAAAGTACTAAATGCGTGACTGTGATGACTGACCCCCCCCCCCCCCCCC